GTGCCCCATGGGAAAGAGGAATGAGGTCCTGCCAGGCAGGTTCTTGTGCCCTGAGATGGTCCAGAATGCCAATCAAGGAGAATATTTCTGGCTCAGAGTTAAAATGGGGAGGGGATATCTCTGAGGATGGTGGTTTCCTTGCAGACGTTTCAGGACCCAAAGTGGGATAATAAGTGAACTAATGATGTTACCTAGTTTGAGTCATGAGACGTCTACATGAAAGCCACAAAGCTCAGAGAGGATCAAGGAACCCACAACCACCCTCCTCTTCTTCTCCTCCACTCCACAAACCCCATTTTCTTCTGGCATAGATGATGTTACCTAGTTTGGGTCATGAGACATCTGCAAGAAATGTTGAATGGAAATGGTACCCCTGCCCTGCCCCCTGCCTCGCCTCACCTCACCCCACAGGAAAAGCCTCCTGCCCATTGTCCCACCCACCAGAGACCCCCTGGATCTCCCCAACCATGCCCAGCCCCCACAGGCATCCCTCCCCATGAGCAATATTGAGGTGGCCATGCCCACGGCCACGGCCACCCAGTCTGCCATTACCACTGCAGCCATGCCCACCCAGTAGGCCACACCCACCCGGCATCCAATGATAAATAAGTGGGGTTTGGGTTGCAGTTTGGGCACTCAGTCTCTAAAAGGTTTGCCATCACTGGTATAGATGGTACCTTGCTCAATAGTAGTAAGTGTGAGAGGGATCTTAGAGTCCTAATGGACAATCACTTAAATATGAGCCAGCTGTGTGCTGTAGCTGCCAAAAAATCTGCAGTGCTAGGCTGCATTAACACAGGGATAGAATCAAGATCGGGTTTTGTGCCATAGTGCACGGCTGCGGGATTGCAGAGCTCTATGCCTCATGGCTGATTTCACCCTACCAGGGGATCCTAAATGAGTCTGAAGTCATCCTGGAGAGGTGATGAAGAAAGAGGGGTGCCCCAATGATCATGGAATGATGGTGGTCATTCTGTTCGATGCAGGGAAAGCCCTCTAACCTGACAGGAGAAAGGCTAGCTGCATACCAGGATCTAGCCCAAGCTACTTGCAGCCAAAGTCCAAGAACACAAACCAGAACAACAGTGAACAGCATGCTTGGAACTGGTGAGAGTATCGATCTTCTCTCCTCTACTCTGTAACTAAGTCCTTGGGAAAGATCCCCAAAGTTAGAAAACCTCTGAAAGTGAAGAGATGGGACTACACCCCCACTCTCTCTTAGATGGAAGTGGCAAATTAACCTTTAAGGGGGAAAGAAATATATTGAAATCAAAGTTAAAATATTACAGTCTGGATAAACCTAAAAATTAAAAAAAACTGCTAAGATTATATTTTAAAGGGTTTTGATGAAACAATAAAAATAATAATAAATAATATTTTTGTCTGAAAAAGCTGGAAAACAAACAACTACTGACACCTAGTGGAGAACTAGAACTAGAACATAGTTCATACATACTCTGACTGTTGTGTAAACTCAAGAATTGTTTACAGAAAAAGAAAAACTTTGACTCTGGGCTAATCTTTTAGGGGGGAATTTACAGGAAAGACTCAATGTGGCTAAATATACTGAATTGCAATTTTGACTGGTTGACAACTGGCCCCTATTATAAAATACTGATTTTACTGATGCCTTGACAATTGGAAATACAGTGGATTATAAAAACTATATATAAAGATAAGAACTATACAAAATTGGGCTGTTTGGATTCTGAGTTTGGCTGGTTTGATAATGCTAATTACAGAGACTATGGCACTGATGAAGGACTATTTGAAAGGGGGAGACAACATTGATATTGCATACTTATCAAAAAATGACAGAAATCCACATTTAATACTTACTCCTGAAGGACCTAGCCTGAAATATCAAAGACCTCCAGAAGCAACATTTCAAGACAAGACAATACTTTCCAGGAGGAAATGTATGTAAAGCTATGACAGATACAAATGACAATAACTTCAAACCACGAGGAGGTCAAAAACAAATTTGACAATATAAATGAGCACATCTCTAATCTAAACCCACAATCAAAAAACACTCAGAAAATGATGGTAAAAAATGAACAAACAAATCAGATAACAGAACATAAACTAGAAGAAAATGACTTAATCAGCGAAGCTACAAATGAAGAAAATTATAATTTAACACAAACTGGAAAAAAACCCACAAGACATTGACATAACAATAAAAATGGAAAAGATACTTTATTCATCAGAACATCAAAATAAACCCGAGGATAAGAAAGAAGATTTAATAAAATGGACTATAGAACTGCCAGCAGAACCATTAGGGTTTGGGAGACAAAAAGCATATATTCTATACATCCTGTCCTCTCCACTCCCAACAATACAAAAGCACAAGAACTTCCTGGCAAGGGGAATATATCAACTTGGAAAGCTACTTGGCAAAAGAAGAAGGTCAGAGACAGATTTAAAAGATTTGATTTGCCCTATCAGATGGAGTATTACATGAGCAAACACTTGTTTGAATACGATTAAAAGAACAGATAATTTTGGATATAAAGGGACCTTACAATAAGAGGGATAAGAGATATAAGTAATATAGTATTTTTCATAATATATAAAATGTAAAAATATTGGGATGATGTATGTGAATGAAAAGTTTGAAATTTAAAAGTAAATTAAGTTGAAGAGAATTAGGACTAAGGAATGACTGAAATACTGAGGTGAAATTAAGTTTAAATAAGAACTTTGAAAATAGGATATATAGTGATTTAACAAATTAACTTTTACAAATATAAGTGAAATATAAACTGACCAGAAAAGATGTTATAGGTAGATGTCATATGATAGATAAGCAGTATGGTATTTTTATAATGCATGAAATATGAAAGCATTGGGATGGTGTATCTAAATGGAAAATCTGGATATTTAGATTATTAATATTAAGAAAATTATAACTGATAAGAATTGTTTGAATATTAAGGGGAAATTAAGCTTAAATAAGAATTATGAAAATAGGATACCTGGTGAACTAATAAGATGATTTTTATAAAAACACAAATTGATAAGAAAAAATGTCATACATGGATGTTATTGTTATTTGTACAAACATGAAAAAATGTATATATTTAACCATTTATACAATGAAAATATTAAGAATTATATTTGATTAAGGTTGAAGAAAGAGAATACTATTGGGAGAAGGGAAGATCAAAGAAATATATTATTAATTAATATACTAATTATGGAATTACAAAAACTAATTATTATTGATGTTAATTAACTACTATTGTTTTTTTCGAAATATATGAACCAAGACAACACACTGTACACTAGGCATTAAGGATTGTTATTGTAAAAAATCAATAAAACATTTCTAAAAAAGAAAGAAGAGGGAGTCAAGCTATTCTCCAAAGCACCTGAAGGCAGGACAAGAAGCAACCAATGGAAACTAATCAAGGAGAGAAGCAACCTAGAACTAAGGAGAAACTTTCTGACAGTTAGAACAATTGATCAGTGGAACAACCTGCCTCCAGAAGCGGTGAACTCTCCAACACTGGATGTTTTTAAGAAGAGACTAGACAGTCATTTGTCTGAAATGGTATTTATACCATTTCCTGCCTAAGCAGAGGGTTGGACTAAATGACCTCCAAGGTCCCTTCCAACTCTATTATTATTATTATTATTATTATTATTATTATTATTATTATTATTATTATTATTGTTGTTGTTGTTGTTGTTGTTGTTGTTGTTGTTGTTGTTGTTGTATTTTCAGCTTTCAAGATTTTCCATCAATTATTTAATTTCCAAGGGAAACCTCCATACAGCCAATACTCCCTTGAGCTTTTTCAGAAGTGATGCTACTGTCACCACTAGAGGATTCCTATCCTAAAGACAAGAGGAGCAGGGGATTATGTATGTATGTATGTAGCTGATAAAGCCTGTCCATTCTTCATTGAGAAAAACATAGTGGCTTTGTTGGCATAACACACTTTTCCATTATTAATTGAACCATAACTGCTTATACCATCCAATTATGAGTTCATAATCACATAATAAACCCTGAAGTTGAATTCAGCCAACATATAAAGTTTAAATGTGGCTCATGGTGTCACACAAACACAACCATAGCAGTGATCTCATCTTTACTAATATAATCTGATGAGGAGACAGATATTAAAAGTCTTTCCACAATTTATTGCATCACTGCCACCATAGCAATTAAATGTCTGAGTTCTTTGGTCCTATATTGTCACAGCAACAGCCAGATGATGATGCTGCAAACGGCTACTCTAAAAATTCTCAATGACCGACCAGGATTTGAAATCAACTTTCCTGATTTGTAGCCTAGGGCTAATCATTGCAGCAGTCTGGCATAAAAGGACATTCAGGGTTACATCTTATTCTTCCTGGAAAAACGAGAGGCAGAATAGCTGTCCATTACCTCATTGAAAATGTAATCCAGAAACAGAAATTTCTGAATTGTGGACAAAGTCTTTGAGGTTTTACTACAGCTCCCCGAGCGTCGTAGACTACACTCCTTTCCACTACTAAAAACACGTGTTTCTCTCCAAGTCGCAGAAAAGAACTGCCTCCCGCCCTTAGCCTCTCCTTGTGTTAAGCTCACGATTTCTGCTCAGCGCACTCCCTTTCAGGGTTGGGGTGGGGGGCGGGGGCGGTGTGTCGGCTTCTCCCTGTTACACCTACCCGGCTTGGGGGAAAAAGGGAGGGACGCAGGAGCGAACAGTAGCAGTGGGCGCGTCGACCGTCCCTGATTAATTTGATGCCGGCGAACAATCCATAACTTGTAAGCAGGAGTCTTGGGAGAGGGAGGAGGAGGCATAAAACACGAAGGCAGTAGAGAAAGGCTGTAAGGTTTATTAGTTGTTAAGTAAAAAATCCACGCCTGCATCCTGGTGTCCGGTGGAGTCCGAGGAAATACGCTGGCTCCGGAGGAATGGCGAAGCGAAAACACGTGAATTAAACGGGCAGCTTTGTGACAGCCAGTCACAGCCGCGGTCTTTCCTGTCAGAGGCGAAATGATTCCTCCGGGTAACGCGACTGAAGTCAGCCTTGAGAGGGTGGAGAAGGAGAACGACATTCAGCCCCCCTCTCCTGCCTCCACTACCAGCCAAGAATCAAAGGTATCTCGAGCGTCGGGGTGTGCATCATATATCCATACTGATACACATGCACGCAAACACTCACATACAGATGTTTATCTCCAGCGCGGTACCCAATTTTTCATCGTTTCCTATTGGATACCTTATGTGGCAAAAGAATTCTCCGAAATGGCTCTGGAGGGATTGCGTAGTTGGTTTGGGTTTTTGGATTGTTATTGAAAGTGAATGTGTTTCAAAGGATTCTTTAGTGGGAAAGTTTTCAGGTATTTATTCCTGGAAGAATGGGAGGCATTTAATTGATTTAAAACAAAACAAAAAACAATTACTATATCTGGGGCTTCATTAACTGAGGCTCATAAATTACTCACAACAATATTGAATAGACTGCAATTTATTTGTTATAGAAAAGTTGGTTACTGTTTTAAATGCTTTGCAGGAATTTTGCAGTTTAACCAGTAAGTAGATCAGCTGTTAAAGGCTGATCTTAGTTTGTGCCAGGACAGCCATCCTGTAACTAATAGGATTTCCTGTCCATTTCCTCACCATTTTCTAATGTTACTGGCCTGGTTAGCCCCACTTGCATAATACCAGTCAAGGTTCTTTCTGTTTCCAACATTTCAAAACTTAAGTGATTTAGCAGACAAAAAGTTTCTTTGGATAGGATCAATCCATGGTCCGCAGACCCCTGGGGGGGGGGGGGCTTGATATAATCATAGGGGATCCACAAAGGCTTGAAGAAATATTATGATTTCAATCTTGAGTTAATTCTTGGGGGTCCATGGCCATGGTTCATGGCCAGAAAAGGTATTTAAAGAGTGTCTGTGGTGAAGAAAAAGTTGAGAATCACTGGATTAGATTAAATCTGGAGCAGGTTTCTGTAAAGGGACTGAAGCGAATTAAAGAAGCGATGAGGCATTTCTCTTTAATGTGGGCCTATTATGAAAGGCTAGGAAGTACCTAGGGGGGGCTCAGCCACTTGTCCACTGAATACATCAACTAAAGAGACTTTTTTTTCAAGGATCAGACATTCAACCCAAACTGTCGTACAGTATTGCAATAAAGTACTTCAAATATGTGACACTGTGATATAAATTGTGTTGGCACTATTTTTCAGTGATCCCTGAGAATAATACTACATAATGTTTATAATGTCATAGTAGAGTCAAGGTAGGATACAGAGTTAAAGGCATTCTAAGAAGGGTCAGGGTCAAAGAAGTCTCAGGGCAGGATGGGGCATTCAAAGGAGGGAAACAGCACCAGGAAGACAACTGGAATGTTCTTACACAAAATCATTTTCAAATGACTTGCATTAGTTCAATTGCAAATACAGCTCCCTTAGCTTCCAGTTAGTATTGTCAACTCCAGGAATTCAACCTATCTAAAGAGGCAATGAGGCTTCAATAAAATACCATTACTTGGTGAGAGAGAGGACAGACACTGCTGTGATTTCCCTTTCCCATTTGATCAGTATAATTCCAACAAGCATGTCAAAGATAGAAACTAACCAACAGGATGATGCTCTGAATCATATCATATAATCAATGGAACTGCTCCATGCTATAATGAGAAGTTAGATCAAAGATCAACAGTGTGGCCTTGTATCTGTTTGTGTTGTGGGATACAGGGAAGACTAAAGTGACTGATACATATATTTATTTGTCCTATGGGAAAGATAATTGGGGCATCTTGAATTTATAACAGGATTGCAGTCTAATCACAGGAAATATCAATTGTTTTAAATTTTTGAATGAGTTTGATGCTATTTGAAGTACCGTATTTCTTTTTGATAAAAGTGGATATAAATACTTTGTGGGAAAGCACTTTTGACATTTTGGAAATATTCTCAGTTAAATTTTCATACATAAAAATGGGAAAAACCATATTTCAAATTATAAAGTATGAAATGATAACATTTAAAATCTAAATTACTCTTGAATTTTGAAATTCCAATTCTCAAATTTTGGAGCACTCTTCAATTTGACAGTTTTCTGTTGGTCATTATATTCAGTTAACTAAATTCAAATGTTGGTATAAATAGTCAAATTATGCTAGCTTTAAAACTATACAAAACTCTTAGTATGTTTTTCAAATGAAGAATAAAAGAGTACAGGTTTCTTTCTGCCACTACACATTATATCCTACATGATTGATTTGGTGGAAAGCCATTCTTCTTCTGAAATATTGATAACTAAACTTTATTTTGGTTTTTCTTGTTTTTTCATAAACAAATTATAAACTCAAAACTTAGTGTACATACTTTAACAAAGTTTATGCATTTTCTAAAAAATAAAAACAATGGCCATCCCCAAATTGGAAGCTTTTAGGACTAGTAAGACAAGAAGATTAAAGGAATTAGAAAAAGGAATGGGGAACGTATCCTTTTTCTATCTTGAAGTTTCTGCTTTTGTGAGGGCCAAGCCACGCTATGAGACTTATGGTTTGTCCAGAAACTTGAATAAAAGTTTGAACTTTAATAAAAACTTGAATAAAAGACATTATAAAATGCTTTTTATAATTTTGTTTTTTGGACACATAATTGGAAAAAGAAGAGGACTTTTTATCTAATCACTGCTTTCTTGTCTTCTCCTTACCCTCCAGTGCAACAGGTGCTATAACTAAAGTGCTGCATTTCCATAGGGCAGCTCTAAATCAGGTGGCTTCTTGGGGACTATCTTAAAGTCAGAAAGTAATATACAGCAAGTTTCTCAGTGCTGTACTGTGTAAACACATCTCAAGGGTGGCTATTTCTGCAGTTTACTCTTAAGATCTCAGTAACTACTTCTGTAGCTGCTTTTCTATCCTTGCCTTAAACCAAAGCCAGATGTGTTGTCATCAAAGCAAGCTACAGCTGCTATTTTTATAACCCTTTCTATCTTATGGCCTTTAAAAAAGAAAAATAAAACACTGAGAGTGTTTTCTAAACAAACTGGGTACTTTGCCCTTTTTGAAACCATATTCTATGAAATCAGTAGGGCTTATTTCAAAATAAACATAATTTAAGTCAGATTTGAAGTGCAGAAATTTGGTCCTTATTTCCATTTCATTTAAAATTGGTTTCAAATTATGGTTTAATGGGAAGTTGCAAGTCGGACATGCTGCTGTCCCATTTAAACCACATCACTTCTGCATAATTTGGCAAATATATGTTGCTGAATCCAATGTTCCACGGAGTCCTAGACATTTACAGTTGAGGAGAAAAGAAAACCAGGACAAATGTAAATTCCCTAATTCAAGCCAGAACATTTGACAAGTTTATGAACTGAGTTAGACAAGCAATCACCTAGCTCCTTTGGCAACTGCTATAATCCTAAACATTGATTTGAAAAGTTCATTGGAACCAAGGCATGCTCTTTCAAATATGAAATATTACAAGAAAGTACAGTTTATTAGAAGGTGCTCTGGTTTCTTCTGAAAAAGTGAATCAACTGATTTTAATACTTATTTGGCCCATTTTTTTACAACAGACAAATCTTCCTAGTAAATAAACATTTGTTTAAACTATTGCTTGCTTTTATATCTTGTTATATTTCATGAAAGTTCTTTCTGTTTCCATTTGATCTTTCCTACATTTCTGTGAGGTGTGTTGGGCTGAAAGGAATGATGGTTCAGTGATTTCATGACCAAGTAGGGACATGTTCCTGCTCCTGAAGTTCCATGCTTTCTAAAAGATGGGGGCAATGGATGGTTTGTAAGCACTGCATATGTCCCTCCAGCACTATTTTTTTTTTTTTTAGTTTCTCTGTCTTCTCAGATTGCTCTGCTGAAATTCAGTTGCAAAACAATGATAGTTGGGTGGTTTTCTTATTTACATTGGGAGTCAATTGGAGTAGATGGATTACGCCTTCACTAAGATTAACAAACTCTTATTTATTTTATTTGTTTCAGAGGCAAAAAACATGGTATAGAAAATATCTGCCGTGCCCAACTAGAGAGCCAGTTGGGACATTAGTATGCTAAAGCTTTTCATGCTGGAATCACTTCTGGCTCTTGATGGACGGTTTAAATTTCTACCATGTAGAAACCTAGTTTGTCAATGAGAAACCTAGATTCATCTGTTCCTCTCTGACCTGATAATTTGCCCCCCCCCCCGCATCATAGATTTATTCAGACATGCAGCCATTAATCAGGCTGAACTGATAAACTCAAAGTATTACATTTTCTATCTCCTTACTAGAAGAGATTATCTTGGTACATACAACCTGAGATGATGTCATTACAAATTACAAAATGAAATGTGTCTGATTTTTACATGTCACATTATTTGCAAATTGGAAAAAGACTATAGAAACTAACTTATATATTTGGTTTCATATATGCTTAAGTGCATTGTGTGTGATACCTTTAATCCTTTTGTGAAAAGTAATTGAGTAGAGAACTCAGCTTTCCAGGCCCTACAGCTATGGTGGGAATCCTCTAATCCAGGGGTGTCAAACTGCCGGCCCCCGGGCCGGATGCATCATTGGGAAACCACGCCCACCCCATTGCCGGCAATGGCAAAAAAGCTCTGATACGTTGCGCGACATCATGTGATATGTCTGCTCTAATCCATAGGCCTAATTCAGCCCATAGAAGTTCCTAGTCTAGTTTGTGCACAGCATATTTTAATTACTTGGGAAAATAATAAAAAGGCTAAACTGACTTCTTTAACTATTAAGGTACTTACAGACCGGCAACTCCTAATATGTGCAATCATTTTGTCCTGCATTTCTTAAAAAAGCTATTTTGTGATAAGAACATAGGAGTGCTGGAAAAGAGAATGAATAGAAAGCTGTCTGAATGAGGCAACAAACTTCATAATAAAAGCCTCATCTGTGAAGACACGTGTTTTAATTTAGGCAAATAGGATTGGGTATTAATTCTGAGGACAACTGCTAAGTACATCCTGATAAGTATTAGCAATAGGTTAAAATTCTCATATTTGGAAAATCAAGGTGTTCTGTGCAAAATGTTTTTTGCACTTCTCCTTCAACAGAGTTCTCTCTTTTAAATATTGTGATTAAAGACAAAAATCATTCTAATTC